CTCACTGCTTGCCTCCTCCCTAGCCCCGCTGCTCCCTGATGGCTGGTGGCACTCACTGCACTTTGGTGGCGAAGGCCTCCAGGCCAGCGTAGCGCAGGGTGGGCGAAAGCAGGATGCACTGGGGCTCAGCCCCATGGCCTGGGGAACTGTTCTCTGCCTCATGGTATCCTCCACCCTGGGGGTCCACCTTGGCAGGCCGGCAGCTCAGGATGGACGCACTGCCTGGGACAGGGGACAGCCGTGAGCCAGGCCCCATCCCTAAGCGCAGGCCCCATCTTTAAGCACTGCTCCCTCCCCAGTAGGAGTTTGGGTCCTGGAACCCCATAATGGGACTGGTCATGCTTCATGCATGTGACCCTCTGGAAGAGGAGTAGGGTGCAGCTGGGAACCAGGACTCTTGGGTTCTCTCCCCAGCTCTGGGAAGGGAGTGGTAGTTGGTGGGTCAGAGTGGGCGGGAGGTGGGGGGGGGCATGGGCTGGGAGCTAGGATGCATAAGTTCCATCCCCTGGTCTGGGCAGGGCATAATGTGCTCTGTGCTGGGTCCCTCCTACCTGCCCCCAGTTCCCCTTGGTCCAGCATCCTCCGGACAGCACCGACACTTGTGCCGTGATAAGCCATGTGCCACTTCTTACAGGTGCTGGCGACCTCCAGCTGGGGGTTTACCCTGCCGAGGTGGGAGGGTGTCAGAGCCAGTGTCCCCCCCTCCCCATTCCAGTCCAATCCCAGCAAGAGCCCCTCTTCCCAGCCTCCCCCTCCCAACAATAGTGAACCAGATCCCCCTCTCTCCAGGCTGATACCTGAGGTTGAAGCGACACCAACCAAAAGGCAGGGCATAGTCCCGGGGGGGCTCCCCCCGTTTATAATAGGCCTCATCGCCCCGCAGCTTGTGGCACGACTCACAGTAGCAGAGGCTGAATTTGGGATCTTCTGCGAAGTAGTCATCTGGGAAAGAAGGGGATGGGAGTCAGGCATGGGGGGAGGAATTTAACTGAGGCAGCAATGCTGCATGAGTCTAAAGAAAGCCTGAGGCATCGAGTGTTAATGCTGAATGAACCCTACTGATGGCAACAGTCCATTTCAGTCACCAATGTGGTTCACTCTGAAGCAGATTTAGAAGGCCCCTGGGGCCAAGGGAGAGGGTCCCAACTTACCTGGAAGCAGCAGGAGATCCTTGAAGCGGGCACAAAGCGCGTGGTACTCACAGGTCTTCATAGTGTTCATGTCCACGGGTGGAGTCCAACACACACTTTCCTTAATGCCTGCAACAGAAAGGGAGGGGTAGCCAACCAGCCAGTCCCTTCCCACATGTACTAGAACAGTAGTACCCTTGGTAGTCCGCGATGGCACTGCAGGGGGTCTGTGGAAAGTTTAAAAATAAGGCTTGGACCCACCATAGGGGGCCTGATCCTTATTTTGCTTTTTCTCCTCCCTCAGAGAGGGGGGCCTGTGAAATGTTAATAGATTAGAAAGGAGTCTGTATGTTCAAAACGGTTGGGAAGCACTGTCCTAGAGACAGAGGCTACGTCTAGACTGCAAGCTTCTTTCAGAAGCTTTTCTGGAAGACATCTTCCAAAAAAACTTCTTCTGAAAGACAGCGTCCACATTGCTTTTTCGATGCGCTTTGGCAATCTGCTTTTTTGACCGATAGTGTCCACACTGAATGGACACTATTTTGCATGTAAGCTGAGATTGCTATGGACGAATGGCCATCAGGGCACTGGTGCTTTTCCTCTTTTCTCTTCTCTTGAAAGAATGCCCTCTTCCCCATCTACACACGCCTTTTTCCCGAAAGAGCTCTTGCAGAAAAAGGCTTCTTTCTTGTAGAAAGAGGTTTACCAATGTCGGAAAAACCCCCTCTCCTTTTGATATTTTTTTCCAAAGGATGCGATTGCAGTGTGGATGTAAATGAAGGTTTTTTTTTTTTTTTTTTAAACAGCTGTTTTTCTGGAAAAACTCTGTAATGTAGACCGCCCAAGTAGGGAGGGCCTAGCCCCGGATCCCACCCATCCACCCGGGCAGATCCCCCTCTAACCCATCAAAGAGCGGAGCAGTTCCATCACTTACCATCCACCATGTCGGCTTTCTCCATGTCTCCCTGGCTATGCAGATCTGTGCTCTCCCCTCCCAGAGCTGGAGTATCATTTGTTACTATGGTAACCTGGGGGCCACAAATGCATTGGTTGGGGGGAGCTGGGAGCCAGCACACCTGGTTCAATCCAGGCTCAGGAAAGAGAGTGCCAAGCGAGAGCTGGTGGATTACCACACGGGGCTGGGAGCCAAGATGCCTGGGTTCTCTCCCCAACTCTGGGAGGGGAGTGGGAGCTAGTGGTTAGAGCGGGAGGGGGGCACGCTCTGGGTTCCGCCCTGCTGGGAGTGGGGCTCACCTGCTCGCACTGCCCATAGAGGTCGACAAGCATGTAGCAGGGTGTGGGGATGTCCTGGGCAGCCACCCCCTGGTCCATCCCGTTGACATAGAGGTGCAAGCAGCTGCTCAAGTCCAGCAGGAGCCCCAGCACTGTCCCCTCAGGGCACGTGTCCAAGTTGGGCCCATAGTTTTCACAGATCTGGGGGTGATGGGCACAGG